CTGCGTCCCGGGCTCCCCAGGAGCCCCCCTCCTCTCCTTCCCTGCCCTCCGCCTTTCCTGCTCCTGTGGGCACCCCTCGCAGGAAGCCGGTTCCCACCTTTCCTGGGCCCAGGGCCCTTCCCAGCTCGTTCAAGGTCTCCCCACGCCCAGGCCGGGGCCCATCTTCCAGGCAGCCCTGCCCCTGGGCTCCCAGCACCCCGGGCCCCGGAGCTCCCGGACCCTCTGGCCTTTCCCCTCGCTGGAAGCCTTGGCCTCCAACTTCCAGGCCCCCAGCCCAGCCCCGGGTTTCCAGGCCTCACCCTCCCTATGCCAACTGCTCCCAACCCCTGGGTTCCCCAACCCCTGGGTCCCCCCTTCTTCCAGGCCCTTCCTGCAGGGCACCATCTCTTCCCCAGATCTCCAGGCCTCGAACCCTGTCCTGCCTCAGGGCCTCTTCCCTTCAGGAAAACCCTCTCCCCAGCTTTGGAGGGCTTCCCCAGTTCGCACGGCCTGACCCCGGGCCCTCCTTCCAGAAGACTCCTGGGCTCCGAGCCTCTGGCCTTGCCTGGTTCCCAGCTCCCTTGTCTTGTCTTCCGGAAGCCGTTCTCCTCCAGTTTCTAGGCCCCTGACCCCCACAGGCCCAGCCTTTTTCCCTCTGGGCTCCCCTTGCCCAGGACTTGCAGACCCCAGACCTTTCCAAAGGCTGCTCCTACAGAACCCCTTCTTTGGTTTCCAGGAGCTTCCTCAACGCAGGCCCTGGCCCAGGGACCCTCGGCCCCTCCCTGCCACCGCCCCATGGCCTGCACCCTTCCTATCAGCCCCAGGCCCCCTGGCCCTAGACCACAGCCCAGAGCCATCCCAGAGGGACCCTCCTCCCCACTCCCCTGGCTTCTGATCGTCTCGGTGCTTCTGAAGACCCCCACCAACCAATGCCAGACTCTCCCAGCTGGGGTTTTTGTCCCTTTCCCCCAGCCTTCTGACAGGTCCTTGCCCCCCCCCACCCCCCAGCCCCTCTCATTCCCGATCCACACCAGAGAGGTTTTCTCTGCTCCTTCACCTTGCAGGACCCTCCCTCACAGAGATCGCCGTCACCCCTGCCACCCATCATACCATAGGCCAGACTCTGGTTTGGAGTCTCCAATGAGGTACCCCTAGCCCCCCTCACCCCACCCCCAGTCACTACAAAAAGTGCCAGGGGGCCCACAGGCCTGGCTGGGTTCAGGTGCTGGCTCTGCCTGCTGGTGTGCCTGTGTCCTCAGGCTCCCAGCTCTCCCTTTCGGAGACTCAGTTGCCTGCTCTGGGAAGTGGGGGTGATCCCTTGAGTCAGAGGATTACTTGGGCTGATCCGGGTAGAGCCCGGCACACAGGACGCGCTCCGCACGTGCTCACACTATTGTGACTGTGGGGATGAGTCAGATGGCCGTGGATTCTCAACCCAGCGCTGTCATCGTGGCTCCTGAGCCTACAGATCCACTCCCTGCTCAGAGCCTCAGTTTCTGTTATTTACATATTTTAAAATTTTTATTCATTGATTTTAAAGAGAAACATCTATTTGTTGTCCCACTTATTTTTGCATTCATGAATGCACCCTGACCGGGGATCAAACCTACAACCCTGGCATATCCGGACAACACTCTAACCAACTGAACTTACTACCTGGCAAGGGTTAAGCCTTAGTTACTTTTATTTTATTTTATTATTTTTTTTAAATATATTTTTATTGAATTTTTACAGAGAGGAAGGGAGAGGGATAGAGAGTTAGAAACATCAATGAGAGAGAAACATTGATCAGCTGCCTCCTGCACACTCCCCACTGGGGATGTGCCCGCAACCAAGGTACATGCCCTTGACCGGAATCAAACCTGGGACCCTTGAGTCCGCAGGCCGACGCTCTATCCACTGAGCCAAACCGGCTAGGGCAAGCCTTAGTTTCTTTATCTCTATATGGGGTTGATGATAGCACCTCCCTGTTAGAGATGTTTTAAGGAGCCAAGAGATTATGTGAGTAAAACAGACAGGGTCAAGCACATAGCTGCTGTTATTAATTATTAGTATTACTTTGATTATTCAGATAGGCATGGGTTCAAATCTAGTTTCTATCCCTCCCTAACTGTGTGACCGCAGGCAAGTGACCTCACCTCTCTGAACCTCAGTTTAGTCATCTGTCAAATGGGGCTCATCTGAGTACTTCCTCATTTCATTGTTGAGATCTGTGCCTAGTGGGGATTTGGGGAGATCTAGTCCGCTTCTCCTCTTCCGCTCTCTAGTGTGTAAGGCCTTCGTGTCAGTCCTGGCCAGGGTCACGTCTCTCCCTCTGGAATCTTAGGTTGCAGTGCCCTCTTCCTGCTGCGTGTTCACCATGTTGGTAGCCATGTGGGGTCATGCTACCCCACCCCAAGTCCCAGGCCCTCCACCCCCCCCACCCCAGCCTCTCAGGAGGTTCCCTAGCAACAGGCCCTGGTGTTGGGGCGCCAGCCGGCGGGAGGGAGCTGGGCCAGCTGGTGGTGCCAGCCAGTTTTAGCTCCCGCCCCCGGCCCCTGGGGGCTTTGTCACCCACTGCCCCAGCTGCCCCTTGCAGGGGTCCGGCAGCTACACTGCCTTCAGTGGGGTGCCAGCCCACACCCAGTTGGCTCCCCTGGTGCCACCTGATGGGGATTGTTCTCCAAGCTGTTATCTCCGTGGGGATCAGGGCCTTATCAGCTGGGATCTCCACTTTCCTTCCCGCCTCCCCCCAGAGGAGGCCGGGGTGGTGAGCAGCCCAGTGGGATGTGGGAAAGAGCTCGGCACCCAGGAGTCTGCAGGCCCCAGTTTGAATCCCAGGTGCTCTGCTCCACCTGCCCTGTGACCTTGGGCAGGGCACTGACCCTGTCTCAGCCTTGGGGTCCCTTTCTGCAGAATGCTGGTCCTAATTGAACCCACATTGGAGCCAGGGCTTTGGCGGGGTGGTTCTTTCTGCCCCGTGTGGGGAACATTCGATTTCTGCTTCTGTGTGACCTTGACAAGGCCCCGTCTCTCCCCAAGCCTCAGTTTTTCCTCTGGAATAAGAGGATGCAGGCGCCGCCCTCCCAGGCTCTGGGAATTAAATGTAGATGAGGTGTGTGTTGGCCCAGGACTTGGCCCCTAGGAAAAGCTGCTTAATAAAAACAGTGTGGCCGTGTGAGACGTACGGTTTTGGTGATGGGGAAGAACAACTCTGGGGAACTATCTGGGCTTGGATCCAGGCTCTGGGCCTCAGTTTCCCCCCGTGTAAAATGGGGGTGATGATGCACTAATGGCCAGCATTCATTAAATACTGGTCATCATCACTGCTAAGCGGCCTGGCAGATGTCCTTCAAGGAGCAGCCCTAGGCCCTCATCTCGTCGCCTACCTGTCCTCTCTTCTTCAGCTTTCTGAGCAGGGCACGGGGTCCGAGCAGAGTCGGCCGGGCTGGGGCCTGTGGCTGCCTCTGTCGCCTGCACCCTGGGCCCCAGCCCTGAAAGGGAGGCACTGTCCCTGGGCCTCACAATCAGGACAGGGCGCGCAGGTGACCTGCAGGGGAGAGAGACAGGACGGCAGGAACAGAGTGTTGGGGACAGATAGGCGCGATGGCGGGGGAGGCAGCGGTCAGGGCTCGAAGGGAGCCACAGTGTTGTAGGGATGGGGGGGGAGGGCGGTGAGGGAGGGAACAGGAATATTTTTAAGGAATGTAACACTAGGGCTAGAACGATGTCAGGGCAGAATGAAAGACACTTGGTGACCATGTTTGGCCTTGAATTTGAGATCAGAAGAAACTGTTAGGGGAACTGAACTGGGAACAAAATACAGTATTGACACTTGGGTTTGGAATCGAATCTGGGGGCTGGCGTGGCGACAGGGATGGAGAAAACAGAATGTTGGAGGCAGTGAGGGTCGGGTTGGAGTGTTGAGACCAGGTTGAGGTCACTGTTGATTGGGGTTGAGGGCTGCAGCATTTGGAATAAAACACTGTAGAGCTGGTGGAGGTCCCGGTAGCAAGGGAAGCTGTGGGTAGACTGACGACGGGGAGGGCTGAAGAAGAGGCCTGGTGTCTGGGAACCTGGATGCTGCAGAGTTGGCGGGTGCCCAGCGTCTTTGTTCTTGGAGGCGTCCTTTTGTAGAGAGATGGGAGACCCAAAGGCATCTTGCTTCTCCCCGGCCTGGGCTCGGGAAGCGGCCGTGGCTGGAGTTAACCACCCCAGCGCTGGCTCCATTGAAGGCGCTGCCCGCGGCTCACGCTCCGTCTCCCCCACCCAGCATGGCACCTTGGGCAGTAGCCGCTCCTCGGACAAGGGGCCGTCCTGGTCCAGCCGATCCCTGGGTGCCCGCTGCCGGAACTCCATCGCCTCCTGCCCCGAGGAGCAGCCCCACGTGGGCAACTACCGCCTGCTGAGGACCATCGGGAAGGGCAACTTTGCCAAAGTCAAGCTGGCCCGGCACATCCTCACCGGCCGGGAGGTGAGTGAGGGGACGGGTGCAGCTGGGCCCGAGGCCTGCAGCATCTGCGCTCGGTGGGCGGTGGGGCGCGGTGGGCTTGGCCGCGTTTTCCTTTGAGACCTCAGGTGAGTCTCTGCCTCTCCTTAGGGCAGATCAGAACATCTCAGGTTTTTCCAGAGCAGCCCAAGTAGAAGAGAACCCACTTCAGGCATCCCTGAGATGGTCAGCAATCACAGATCACAGGCAGAGCTGTGTGTGGTGTTTCTAATACTTTGTGTGGCCTTTGTGTCTGAGCCTGGGCACCTCCCTGTTTTAATAGTGGACTTGGACTCCAGCAGATCTTCCAGTGATCTTGAGAACACAAGGTTCATTGGAGTTCTCAAGCACACACTCTCCCTTCCTCCCCCAACGCCCTGCGTGTGGCAACAATATTGCAGAAAGGGCCCAGGCAGACGGGGAACCTAGATAGGAGGCCTCCAACTCACACGCAACAGGAGAAAGGGTGGTGGGTGGGTTCATGGCTCCTCTGCACCGCCTTCCATTTTAAGCAAACGAGGGGCGTGATTTCTCCCGCCTTGGACGAACCCTCTCCTGCCCTTTCGCTGTCCGTGCTGCACACACGGAAAACACCAGGCCCCGGTGGTTTTATGGGCAAATTGTACCAAACGTGCCCATTTTATGCCAGTCCTTCCGGAAACGAAAGAAGGAGGTTCCACGGCCAACGGGTGTTCAGTGCGAGTTCAGCAGCCATCGCAAAAGCAGCTGAGAAGTCGCTGTCAGCCTCACGTGTGAACAGAGGACCCGCAGGCAGAGCGCCGTGGGATGGCAAAGCTGGGTTTAGCCGGGAATGCACAGTTCTGTGCAGATTCACAATTTATTCATGTATTTCGCCACATGCACAGACTCAAGGAGAGAAACCATATGATCGCCTCAGTATCGGCGTACAAAATGTTTGACAAATTAGAAACCCACTCGTGAGAACGTGAGGACAGCCGGGGACCCCCTCCCCCACAAAGAACAGGCCGTCCCTCGTGTGGATCTTGATCATGATTCCAGGGGTTTCCGAGAGGACCGGCATCCAAGGGAACAGGGCCTCCCAGGGGAAGACTCGTAACCCAGGGGGCCTGGGGTGGCCCCAAAACCCTTTGTAAAAGCTATAGACTTAAAGCTGGATTAAGACTTACAGGGCCCTCACTATGGCAAAATTTACGGCACTCTATCCCAGGTGAAATTCAAAATTAAATCTCAGCTACAAGATAAATATAAGGATTGTTCAATAGCAGTCTGATCCCCCACGTGATGACCACCTCAGAGTTCTTTTCAAACCATAAATGTGCGCATGTCGTTTTAAGTGTTTAAGAGGTAGACCCTGTCAGGCTACAGAAGTTCAGATCCCAGCCTGCAAACTTCCTCGCCGCATAGCCTTGGCCAGGTAACTGAGCGGCTCTGTGCCTCAGTTTCCCCGTTTGTAAAGTGGGGATCATTCTGGCACTCCTCTCACAGGGGTTCTGTGAGGATTAGAAGAGTTATCATTTGTAACGCACGTGTGACTGGTCGGTGAGGTTAGCTTCAGTTATTGTTTACTGTCCCCCAGTTTGTGCATCTAAAACAAAGATGGGGGGGATGAATGTTCTGAGATGCCCTCACAAAGGTCCCCCTTAAGGTCTCGGTCACACACTCACACAGGCCCCTGGAGTGGCCCATCCAGGCCTCACTGCAGAATAGGGACTCTTTCCTTATAAAAGCAAGAGTAGCACTGGTCACAGTGGGAACAGCACGTGCAGAGGTCCTGAGACCCAGCTCCCTATCCACTAGGAATGGCCCAGGCTGAGGTTTTTCTGTGAGAGGGGGTAAAGGAAGGCCATCCCAGGTGATCTTGAGTTGGGGTACCTTGACCTTCCCCCGCTTCTTTCACCTCCAGGTTGCCATCAAAATCATCGACAAAACCCAACTGAACCCCAGCAGCCTGCAGAAGGTGAGGCCAGGGAGAGGGAGCAGCGTGGGGGTTAGGTTGGGAGAAGGGTCCTCAAGACCACCCACCCTCCTCTTTCCCCTTTCTTCCAGCTGTTCCGAGAAGTTCGTATCATGAAGGGCCTAAACCACCCCAACATCGGTGAGGAGGGCAGGGCGGGGAGGGGGGCTGGCGCCGAGGCTGCCAGCAGGGCACCAGGGCACAGGGAGAGCTGAGGCACTGTGGGATCGGCAGTTACAGTCGTTAGAAAGACCTGTTTCCTCACAGCGCTATCCCTGCTCACGGGCTCCGTGGCCTTGGCCAAGTCACTTACCCTCTCCCAGCTTCAGCTTCCTCCTCGGCACGGGGTGTGAGAGGGGCCTTCTCAAGGTCGTTGTGAGGATTGGATAAGACTGTGCATGCGAAACACTCCACTCAGCGTTAAGCTGTGGGAGCCGGTCTGGTTGGTGTCATCAGTAGTAGCCATGGTCATTGTCATTGTCATTAGGTGAAGGAGAGAGAGAGGGCTCGTTCCCGAGAGAAGCGGGATTTGGCCTGGCCTGGATGTGGCCGCACCACTTACTCATCCTTTGTTTTTTCACCCGGTAAATATTGATCGGTGGCCGCTGTGTGCCAGATGCTGGGGATACAGCGGTGGAGAAAGCAGGCACAAATCCCGGCTGCATGGAGCTGAGCTGACATTCTTGTGAGAGAGAATATATAAGAGGTGCAGTGTGGGGCTGAGGAGAGGAAAGTCTTGCCATCAGTAGGGAGCTACTGAGTGTTCTTGAGTGAGGGTGTCATGGCTCAGCCATCCACACAGTTACGAGTGTGGTGGGTGGCAGGGTCTCTTCCTGCATAACCG